TTTACTACATGTCTGGTTGGTGGAGCTATAGCTTTTGCTACGGTCGTGACGTTGTGCAATTTCATGCGCTTCCCGCCAGTGTCAAAAGCGGTCCCCCCATGAGAGACCCCAATACTGCAGAATACGTCCTTGGAAGAGTTCCTGCTCCGCACTCCACTACACGCTCTTCGCGCCGCGGACAACCTGTACCTGCGGGTGACAAGGGGCAGGCTGCTACTACGGCACCGCCGAATACAGAGCTCCAAATCAAAGGCGACCAGCGGTATTTAGTTCAGAAAATGGCAGACGGCACTACATGTGATCTGACTGGTCGAGAACGGACGATCGAAATACAATACCACTGCAGTCCAGGCAGTACCCAGGACCGTATTGGTTGGATCAAAGAGGTAACAACATGCGCATACCTTATGGTAGTCCATACCCCTCGTCTGTGCGTAGACATTGCTTTCCTGCCACCCAAGGAGGAGAAGGCGAATATTATTAGTTGTCGCACCATCGTGTCGCAAGCAGAGGAGGCAGATTGGCACACGCAAAAGACGCTAGAAGCGCAGTCGGCTATGGTAGGTCAAGCCAAAGGAGAGACGAAAGCTCCCATCACTATTGGTGGAATCGTGGTTGGAGGGCGACAAATGCTTGGACGGGGCGAAGACGGAAAAGCTGCACACCAGCTAGCTCCTCCACGAAACTTCCGAAGTTCAAACATCCCTTCTTTAGTCGAGGTGGTGGCCAAGGGGGCCAGCAAAGAGGAAGGTAGTAAGGTCGAAATACTCACCGACGAGGAACTAGCCAAGCTAGATCTCAACCCCGAGATGATCGAGGAACTAAGGAAAGAGTTGCAAAAGCTAGCAGGTGATAGGGGCTGGAAACTCGAGGTTGTCGAAGTCCCGGGGGACGGCCGGGAGATTCACAGTGTGGTTGATACGGACGAAGTTAAGAAATCCGAAGATGATGACGAAAACAAGGAAGCAGGCAGCGAGGAAAAATTCTTCAAAGAGGAGTTGTGAAATATTGGTTATTGGCATAGCAAACGGCGTTACGTAGGTAGGACTAATCATATTCATCTTCAGCATCCCGAAACAGGGCCGTTGACCACACGAGATATGCCACCATATACCGTATTTGATACTTACTGGTTACGTTATGGTAGTCGCATCGATGCCTTTTGGGTTGCACCACATCGTACATTGGTTATCTACCTCTAACGGGGACACAAATGTGATTCCTAGAATAGTGGTGACATCGTTGTTGTATTGATTATTATTAGGATTAGGATCTAGCTACTATTTATATGCAATATATGCAGGCAGCGACTGCCTCATTATATGAGTGCCTAAGTCACTGTTGCCTTAGGTAGGATCCACACAAATACATCATCCACGGCAAGCTAGCAATATGTGACACAGCTAATACTTGATACTCGCTCGCTGATCCTGTTACCCTCAAGACAGGTCTACCGAGACTAGGTGAGACCTTGTCAGCACGGAGGGGCATGTGAGCAGGCACAAACGAAACTAGTTGAAAATATTCATTCGTTTCACAGTCTTGGGAAGTTGGCGTTTGTGTTGTCCGATGAGGTTATGGGAGGCAATATGGATCACCTGGGTGCGATAATAGTCATGCGATGTGCAGATAAGTAGGCTAATGGCATCATCTATCAGCTTTTATGTCCTTACTAATAGCTAGTATGTTGCCTATGTATTCGTGTAGTTTAAGTGGCACAATACATACCTGATAGAACGCAGAGGAAGTAACGATATTGTGAGGTCAAATAAAAAGCTTACATGAAAACAGTCCTAGTTTGTGTTATCTACGACGTATTAGCTGGAAGTAATCCTCGTGTCGAATTTGCAGTGTCTCGTTAGAAACTCTAAGAGTTGGAAGTATAACGGACCAGTTACAAAGCACGTATTTGGTAGTTAAGCTTAAGCCTACGATCCCGCCCGTTCGGAATCAGAGTAGCTAGATTAATAAGTCCTCTTTAAATGAGATAGATAGAAATATACCTCTTCGATTCAGTTGCTCGATCTAATCGTCACTTAATAACTCGAACGAGTAGGAAGCTTTCTCGTAGGATTTCGCCATCGTATTATCTACCTAATTTGCGATGAGGCTCATATACCGTACCTTGTAAGAGAGGTAGTTAACCCCAGACCTGTCCAGCCGATAAGAGAACAGCGTCGATCGTTGGATGCTTTCCTATTGCTATCGAATCCCCCCAAACGTGTAGCATTTTCCCGGAATATGACGAATAGCCTCCAAGTGAGGTCTTAAGATTATAGTTATCGGTAGACTCCTAGCCAATAGATGTACTGTGGGTGTAGGGACAGGATATTGATATTGATTCATGCAGCCAGAAATCAAATCAACAATCCATCATGTTAACTTGATTTAATGATGGCATATCAACATCCACGATATGCTCTCGTCATGCTGCGTGCATCACCAATAGGATACATCTAGAATGGGTAGAAATCTTGCGATCAGCTTGCCACGTCGCCCTTATAAGCTTTGTAATACCCTTCTGCGACCAATACGCCCGATGGTGGGAGTATTGGAGCTTGTATGCTATTTGTTATTAGCTTGGCAGCTAGACTACGTAAGTTTTGACACTGGGGATTGGATGTATGGGCTGAAGGTTGATTAATCGAGTTTTGCTAGTTATGCTACTGGTGTTTAGGTCATCCCTTATCCCTTCATTGCTCTTGGATGTCAATCTTATATTCATATCCTTTTACATTCTAGTTAGCCCGAAGAGTAACTCGTAGTTCTGGATAACTAAGGATAGTGTGAAAAGCTGAATTTCACTGACGGATTATTTTAGTACCGGTAAAGAGAACTAGAGCACTTAATATTGGGCAGACAGGTAGGTGGTGTGTAGATTTAGTATAGACAAGTTTGCCCGGCTCATTTATGGACAGGTTACGGCATGAGGAGATTTTAAAGAGGGGTGTAACACGATCACATTCCCATCTACCTACCTAATTTACGATGACGATACCGAAACAGTGACAACTTAAGGGTCCCGCCAATGACGACATCTGTAATTGGAGTACAGGTCCCACTAGGTGGACTTCTATCTCCAGTATGTATGTACATAATAGATAGGGTCAGGGCTCGCGCCATCGTGGGGAAGTGCATCGAATGGATACCTACCTAGGTAATCTGTGGAATGGGTTCCTTTACGATCTACCGAAATTTGAGGACATATCTATTTAATGATCTTTTATCGCACCGACATAAGTTTAGAGAAAGGTTAGGAAAATGCTCCTTTCTATACCCTTGCATATGAAGTAAGTAGGCTATCTTATGTACATAGTATATTCATGTCTTCTTAGTTCTTACAAACGTGAGGCACTCGGCACAGGGGCTTCGAACAATGATGGCCCAATGATGTTGAATGTCACATCACTGTGAGAAAGAAAGAAATAAAAAAGCCCACTATAACTGTCGGAAACGATCACTTTTAAACTACCCTGTACGAACCCTGTGAGAATATCCTTCTTTGACCAATTACAATCTTCCCCAGCATTATGGAAGCCAGGTTTACTGCGTACCTAGTCCCGGCTCATGGCGGGCTGTAACCAAAACCGAGCCAGGGGTTTATACTAGGGTTAAGTTAATTGGTTAGAATATCGAAATCGGCATGCCTTTCTAGCAGTTCCAGCCAGCCTAGCATAACCGTCAGCTACTAATATTTAAGCTAGCCCCTTGTTCCTAGCATAACATTTGAACGCGTCTTAGCTACTTATAGTAATGATAACCCTTGATATGCAGGTCCCCCCCTTAGACACATGCATTAGCTTGAAGAGATCCCGACGCGAAGGGACCAAACGGGGGTCTTAGATGCATCATTTAGCATTCTCTAGAGGGGAACTACTCTTAGGTACGGAGATGAAGCAAGAGTCTCCCTAGCAGCCAGGATACCTAGCCTAGCTATCGATAGCTTTTAGGGAAGAAATTAGTGCATGTTCTCTCTGATTTCTCTTCCTAATTCCCATGATTCATCCTATCGTGGTCAACTTCGTCACACCCCTTTTAGAGATGCCCATCCTATAATCGCCTGGATGATAGAAATTGTATGCCTTCTTTAATCTCTATTACCCCGGATACCTTGTGAGCATTTTGACAGGTCTTTTGTTTAATTTAATTCATTATCATTGTTTTCTCCGGCATCAATTCTATTTTTATTGATTCTTCTAACGAGTCAATTATGCGCCTATTTTCCTGAGACACAACAACCTCTTATCTCGGCATATTCTACTGGCATGACAACAAATCCCGAGTTCTCTGCTTCTTTGAAATACCTTTGTAAACGTTGTTTTTTATGGGTAATCGGTCGCATTCATAAGCTGTGGTTCTAGATCGAAGCAGCTTTATTACATATTCCAAGCTTTTAAAGCTGAACAGCTGAAAATCAACTTCTACACTACGCAGTTGTGGAGCAACAGCAATTCAACAGTTATTATTAGCATAACAAAAAAAATATTGGTAGAGATTTAGATCTACTAATTACTCTTACGAATTGCGAACTACGAATAGCCAACTGCTGACCCGCCAACGATATAACGGTCCTAGCAAACCCGGTTATAACTTATAACTTATAAGTCGTCGCGTTAAGACGCTCAAGCCGCTGAGCTGCTCGAACGCTGATGACGCCTCGTATCCTAGGCCCTTGAGCGCCTCGATTCTCCATACATCGTATGAAGTACATCATCTATCATACTGTACATTATTCAAAGTTCTATCTCGATATCGAATCTTTCAATTCCTTAAACAGACAAATACCGTGCTTCAATCCCCACCTTCGACCCCATATCTTACGAATCGAATCGCCTCGTTATTACATGATCGCTACTTCGTACTTCTAATTTTGCTTGCTATTTTCCTACGCGGTCGGACGAAGTTATTCCAAGCGATAGGGTCGCCAATTGTTTTCGTTACCCTTGCTACCACCAGACGTTCTTCAGCAAAAAGTACGTGATAATATAACATTGTTCGTTATGGATGGTAGCGGAAGTCAGAAGGAATCACGCGAGCGTTTGTACTCTCGCGCACCTTCACGAGCTAGTAGTGCCAGCACCGCGAACACCCAGATGACGTCCAAAAGTGCAAACAGCACCTCTTCATATCCACGGGAAACTTCCCATACAGGTTCGCATCCGATACATAAATATCACCATAGCAGAAGCTCAATAGGTACTCGACCTACGTCACGATTATCCAGGGAATCTAGTAATGAGCTACGGGAACCGACAGCGTCTGCGTCTACTTTTCTGCAAGAACGGCTACAGCGGGAGAGGAATGAAAGACATGCAAGCAAACTAAGCACCGACTTGAGCGCTTCTACCGGCGATATCCGGGATAGAGAGGTGCAGAACTCACCTATTAAAAGGAGTGCCACCTCTGTGGGACGACGGCAGTGGTCGGATAATAGCGATGAACTGACCAAAGATGCAGGGATGGGGGCAAGACAAATGGAACAGGTAAGGAAATTTCACAATAACGTGCGCTTTTGTAGCAAGTTAAACTCGGCAGCTGACTCAAACGGGAAGACTCTATCAACACTACATAAACAGAACTTCGATCTCAAGCTGGAGCTATACCATCGACGAGAGAAGCAGACAGCGTTAGAAGAGAGAGTTGAGAAACTTGAGTCTCAGCATAGAGAGATGATAGATCTTCATGAAGACATCATACACGAGCTGGACATGAAGGATGACGCCCTCGCCGAGGCCGTCACACTAATAGTGGAACTAGAAACTCGGATCGACGAGTTGGTTCGAGAAAGGGAAATGGTTAGGCGAGTCGAGGCCGACGGCTCGTACCGCCATTCTTCGCCGGATCAACCTAATATTGAATCTACCACGACCGTTACCGCCCCCGTAGCTACTATCCCCAAGGCAGTAAACCTCAGCGTGCCGCGTTTGACCGCACATGTGAATAGCCTCGGGCGAGTACCTAGTTTCCTCTCCGAGCACAGCCAACAAACTGAGAATCTGCGCAACGCGGTCTTAAGAGGACGAACTAGTGCAATGCATATGCGCAAAATTTCCGAGTCAAGTGCTGATCCTAGCGAGATTAATCGTATCGCTAGTCCTAATCTTAGTGTACTCAGCGAGAGTTCCTTTGTTAGCATATACGGTGCTAAGGATACAGGCGACAGGGTAGGTTTACAGCCACCGGCGGATGTGGTAGGAATGGATGGCAGCTATTGTGACCGTTCCCCGACGCCAACGATGAAGATGAATAATGAGGGTCGAATCAGTCAAAAGAATGCAATTTCAAGTCAGATGCCCACGGGTTCCCCTGGTACACCAGGCGGAGGCGTTAGATTATCAAACCGTACGCGACCTACAAACAATGTTATCAGCCTGACTTCACCCTTACAGGAGATTGAACGACTTGACAAGCAAATGACAGCCGGCAACGATATTTCTAGGCAATCTATGTCCAACCGTAGTCGAGGTACTGCAACTCCGACTCTTGCGAAGCCCTCTATGAATCCACCCCAGCAGAGCAAGACCAAACAAGAGAAGAGAGAGGCTTTAGAAAAGGTCTTAACCAACTATCCCACATATAGGGACTTCTCGAATCCCCAAGCCTTTCCTCCCACCCCAGATACCGTCTCGTCATCAACCCTTCGAAACCAGCAGAATTTTACCGGCTCTCAAGATAGTCTTATAAAGCAAACAAGAGGTGTCCCTGGTAATGGTATCATGTCTGTTTACGATAGAATTGGGGCTTTTGGTAGAGAACTTCCTTACCTGCCGTCTTCGAATCAGCATGGACCGACCACAGTACTAGCCAGTCATAGGCAAATGCCAATGCCGAGTATTAACACTAATACGTTCTCTGACCTTACCCAGCTTGCACGATCCCTTCCACCACGACCCCACTCGTCGGCTGAAACAACGAGTTCTCGTGCCGGGGCTACTAGTTTAGGATCGGATTCAGACTCGGACGGTGGCGCAGATGCCCATTCCGAAACTGATAACTTTGATTACTGGATGAGAGAGAGCATGAAGCCGAACATATATCAAGCAGGTCCATCAGAACAGCGCGGAAGTCGTCGTTCTGCATCTCCTGATCTCTTCTCTTTCCCTGCCGACGCGAGAGGCTGGGAAACGGATGTTATCTTTGGAGCTCTAAAAGGCAATGGCTATCTTGGTTCACCAGTGTCGGCGTTGAAACGTGACCCTATCGATGAAATGGCCAGCTCATTGCAAACATCGCAAACAGAAATATTTGAGCCCTCAATGATGGGATCCGCACCTCCTACTCCTGATCGACGATCGAGTTTGCATGCTCGCACTGGTAGCACTAACGCAATACCTTTATCTGGCGGGACGTTTAAGAAGCATCCTGCTATGGGTCCGACTACGGCGTGGATAGACGGAAGAGGTAGGAGTGGTAGTATAGACTCGGCCGCACCCGCGTTTTCCAACAGAGCACAGCCCCAACAACAAGGAGCAATGACACCGGGAAAGCGAAACCATTACCCTCCAATTTCTGGACAGACGTCTAAGGGGCGGGGATTAGGTCTTAACTCGTTCTTTAGAAAATCCGGCTCTGATAACTTCAGCGCCCCGCCTACCGCAATTGAGGCGACTTTCCCTGTTCCAACTCCGGCTCAGTTGTCGGCAATACCACCATCGATGAGGTCTGTAAAGTCTTCAGGAAGAAACAGCGTCCCGCCGCCACTGACTATGCCCTGGCGCGCTCCGGGCATTGTTGAAGACGATCTTCAAAGTGCGACACCTCCCCCAATCATGCGTAGCCGTGGTATGTCGCTTCTTTCAGGAACTAGCAATACACCGCAACAACAACAAGCCGAGATATCACGTCCAAACACGCCAACGACGGTGGTTCAAGCGAATGTAACTGCTACCGGAGCACAGGGCGGCGGCAAGAGGAAATGGTTGGGTCTTGGGAGAATAGGAAACTCAAAGACGAAGATGGGCTGAGAAGGTCCTTTTATGTGGAAGTTGTGACGCTAACGAGACCTCGGAATAGAAGTCAACACCAATAGGTCAGTGCAAACTGGAGCATTGGGTTGGAACAGAATCGAAGTAATAGATTCTATGTTGATTTACTGAGTCTGCAAGAGCATGGGATTATCGCTTCTCGCATTCTCTGTACTGTAGCATTCATGTAAGAGTATTATGTATGATTCTTGGGTGTAACGAAATTTGTACGGCGTTATGGCATAAATAAAAGAAAAGGAGGAAGGGTATTTGGAATCTTAGGAACTTCGAGGTACCAGTCAGTAGAGAAGACGGGTCAGGCCTGTCTATGAAGATACCCAGGGAACGGTGGACAGGAAACAGGAGATAGTAATGAGAGTACCTCGTATTGTATGAGTATAATTATTATATTATTATTGTGAATTGATGCCCACGAATGCGATTATATACCATTTAGGTACATTTGCTTAGACTTTCAGTAACATAGGAAATGTTTATATAAGTCTTCATGAGAATAAGTGGTAGAGGTACCGTACCGTCACCCGCTGCGGTCTGAGCTCAACTCGTAAGATCAGAGTACGAATTATCGATGTACATACTGTAGTACCTGTAATTATAGGTAATAAAAAAGGGGTCCTTGGGTTACTAGGGTTATCTTTGACATCATATCCGGCAACTAAAGTACCACGTACCTATTCAGCTGTCTCATTTCGTAAAACATTACACGTACAAATTCGTTTTTATTTGTCACTTTGACTTACTTAAACGGATGCTCATATAACATAACAAACGTTAATAACAATAACAAATCTGAGCGGCTAAGGCGGAAAAGAAATAAGAGACTACGGCTTGCATCGGATTACTGTTTAACTGCCCTATCATTGTTACGTTACCCGAAGTTCCGCTATCATGGCCAAGGCCGCCGTCAAATCCGAAGCGGATAGCGTAGTAGAACATCCCACCCTCCGACGCAGCACGAGGAATGCTAGTAAGAAAGGCGGAGATGTACCAATCAAACAAGAAGATCTACCTACGAGTGTAACAACGTCTGTATCGGCCCGGCAAACGAAGAGAGTCAGGCCGAAAGACGAAGATGAGGATGAGGATGAGACAAACGAAGCTAAGCCCTTGACGAAGAAGAGAAAGAAGATCACATCGCCTTTGTCTAACTCCGCTACACGGGTCAAGGCCGAATCGCCTAGCCCGGGGAAAGATGTAACGAGTAGAGGAAAAAAAGGGACAAGTCAAGAAGGTAGAGGGGATAAAGGAGCTGACCTCCGGGCGAAGAAACTAAAATCCTACGCGCAATTCGCCAATAAGTCGCCATATCCGGACTTCCCGCGGCCGACTCCTGAGGAGTGTCAGCGCGCCTATGATGTTCTCGCGAAGGTGCACGGGGAGCGGAAGCGGCCCGAAAAGGTATTAAGCGCGCCAGCCGACAGGGCCGGTTGCGGCGATGCGCCGTCGGTTCTTGATGCGCTGGTACGCACCATCCTATCGCAGAACACGAGCAACAAGAATAGCACGCGCGCCAAGCTAGACATGGACGAGGTATACGGCAGCGGGGATTCCGAGGAGCGCTGGGCTGCGATCGCAGCGGGCGGTCCTGCGAAACTCGAGAAGGCCATTGCTAGAGGTGGTCTGGGAGGCGTCAAGAGTCGCGTCATCGTGGAGATCCTAAACCAGGTTAAACAGCGTTATGATAAGTACTCGCTGGACCATCTGCTCCGGCTCGAGGCTGGAGGAGATGACGAGGAGGCTATGCGCGAGCTCATCTCGTTCCGTGGCGTGGGACCTAAGACTGCGAGCTGCGTGCTGCTGTTCTGCGTGGGGCGCGCCAGCTTCGCTGTCGACACGCATGTTCACCGGCTGACCGGTATGATGGGGTGGCGGCCTGCATCAGCGTCTCGCGACGAGGCGTTTGCGCATCTCGATGCGAGGGTGCCTGATGCGCTCAAGTACGGCTTACACGTTCTGCTTATCGAACACGGGCGCGCGTGTCCCGAGTGCAAGGCTGGTGGGAAGGGGTTGGGTCGGTGTGAGCTCAGAAGGGCGTTTAGGCGTAAAGGTGGCGACGGAGAGGCCGAGGAGGAGAAGGAGGAGGAGGAGGAAATGGTCCGGGTTAAGGACGGTGTTAGCGATGAAGAAGAAAGCGACGTGAAGATGAGTACGTGAGGTAAGGTGGTGGAGCTCGTTATATTGTCGATCAGGTTAGTAGGTCTAGATGAGAGCCATTCAGTAGGTGAGTAGCTTGTTATTAAGTTTATATCTTGATGATTTCTATCGAATGTTTATGAAAGTCTAGGAAGGACATGAAGGACATGGATCCATTCGTCCTTGGCCTCAGTCTCGTATATATATTTCCGGGTAGATTAAACTAGATATTCGTTATAAAACCACCTCTAATTCAAAAATTAATAGTACTGAATAGACTATACATCGTTTGGTGTTTGCAATATATTTCCTGACATGATCGTGTCACTGCCTGAGAGAAGATTCAAGATACTGTGGATAGGTACCTAAGCCTAAGGTACCTAAGGTAGGTAAGTATTATGTTTGGTCTAGTCAGGAAGATAAACCGGCTGGCCCCAGACAAGCATCTATGATGGGACAGCTGCTCAACCAGTTTTGGATGATGCGTTCTCTACTCTACTTTCTTATCTCTTAGGGCGGTATCCTACGGGCTTTTGCGGTACTTGACATCAGCATTGGCATTGGCAATCAATGTATTTAGGTATATAGCATCTCCGTATTGACCTTAACATGTGATGTCTCTGATATCCTACGATCCTGATCTCCGATTCCGTAGCCTTGGTGATCGAAGCTCTACGGTCATCTGCTTATCTGCCTTACGTTAAAGCAGCACCTTATATATATAGAACTATACATCCTGCCTCGCTGATATACTAGTATGTGCGGCCGCTAGGGGGCTACGCAAATGTCATACAAACATCTTGTACTTGCCCGTGACTCTTACGTGCACTCGAGGTGGGAAAGGGTGCGGACTCTGTTGGAGGAAAAGCACCCTCATGCTTTTGGGTATAATAAGTTGCCAATAGTTGGTGGAGTGAGAACATAGCAAGAGATATTAGGTCTCCATTATTCTTTTCTTAGACTCTATTCCGGAATACCGGGATTTATATAGGCTGCTAGGTTAGACTAGAAGAATATACTACCCCATATTTGAGAGTACAGCTCGGAAAGTAATAAGCTGGGGGCTAGGGGGGAGAAGGAAGTACCACAAATCTCCCAAGAAAGATGTGACTCTGTATATTTAGCAAAAGGAGGCGACTGCCGTCCTGAAGAATACCCAAAAGGAAAAGGCTTAGTCCCCATGTGCTTAGGTTAGGTAAGATCTGTAGATCTGATTCTCCACTCGGTGCACAATATTTCTAACGTTACCTTATTATAGTAATGAATAAACTTGTTCAAATCCTCACCATTAGGTTCCAACAATTAACCTGTATCGGATGCACCAATTACATGAAATCAATAGCAGGATAATCCAGGGATTTTGGTCTCATTCGCGGGGTGTGCATTTTACGCGAGCCTGAAGCGGCACGCGTCATGGTGATAGTGTCAACGGCCGGTAGTGATGTAATCATGACTCTCATGGTTTCTACTTGTTTCTGCCGAAGTTCTTCTCCCGAGAAATTACAGTTCAGATGATATTCATTTTCGTTTTTGCCGAATATTGTAGAGACTAGCATATATTCACATTGTTATTCTGATTTGCGAGAATAGTTAGTTCCAAATGCCTTGTCTTTCACTAGCATTCCATTACAACTACATACATATCCTTTCCTCTCAGAATCGTAATGTAGCTATAACACCGGACTATCAAGCCTTATCTTGCATATGGATCTGTCCGGAAATACCCAACAGTCTGACGGCTTGGCACCCTCAGGAAAATCATCATGGACGCCAGAACTTCCCCATCATTTCCTCCAACCCGGCCCCGGGGTTGACCCCACCGTACCGGGATTCAATCCTGGACTGCCGCTACTCGGACAACATGATGGTTTAAGCCATCTTGCTTCCGCGGCAGCTATCTCCGACCCATATAGCATGCTTCCTGGAACATCGCCGCTGGGTCCGTCACCGTCAACTCAAGCTGGGCCGTCCGCATTTATAGCTAATGAAAATACCGCACCCGGAACGTCTACGGAAAGCGCTGAGCGAAGGGAACAGCTGAGAGCTAGGCGTCGCGTTCCAAATTCCCAGCGGAAGAGGACCCAAGTCAGTTGCGATGCCTGTAAAACGCGGAGATGCAAGTGTGTGCGTCTAAAATCAACACCGGGATCCGATAATGATATATCAAACCCCGGTGGCCAGCCTCCATGTAAGCTGTGTGTCGAAACTGGAATTTCGTGCGTGACATCGTTGCCGCGAAAGCAAAGGGTCTATGGCAGCGTCGAGAATCTAGACAAGAGATATCGGGCCCTGGAGGCCTTGGTTTCAGGCGTATTTCCAGAATTAAACCCTAGAGCTTCAGCGGAAGAACTGGTTATCTTTGGGCAGGAGAGGGCGATAGCCATGCCCGATTTCGGTGAATCGCCCGATCAATATCAATCTCAGCGTCGACCTTCGTCGGCAGAGTATTCTATAAAATTGGTCACACCTCAAACTCATAGATACGGCTCAGTCTCAGGGGATGGAGTCGGAAGCTCGAATTTGATCATAGCAGGAACCGACCATGAAAAGACTATATTACCGCCGTCCTATCTCATGAGATTTGCGCCAACGAATACACCACAACTCTCGCCTGACTCTACGGACGGTATTGCAGACCCCACCGCCAAAACTACCGGTTTGATATCGGATGCTACCGGTCGGCCGCATTACATAGGGCCGTGTGGGAGTCTTGCTTTCTTTGGCAAAATGCGCGAGTTATTTGTGCAACGCTTTTCCGAGACGGGGATCGTAGGTGGATCTGATGGAACAACTCGCGGTTCTACGAGTAGTAAAAAACGGCTCTTTCATAACAACCCGTTGGCAGCTTCGCTAGGTGGAACTGGTGATCGTGGGCGAGCGGCTGCGTCTCCCCCACGACGAGATAGATCTAGTTCACCTAGCCAAATCTTAGATCATCTTGATGGCGACTCTCCTCCTCAAATATGCGAAAATATGCTCAGGGAACATCCAAATGATCCTGATTTTTGGAGGTATCGTAAACGAGTATCCGAGATTGAATTGCCCTCTAAAGAGCGAGCAGACCTCTGTGTTAACGCCTTTTTCCAATGCGTCCATCCCAACTTCACCTTGTTCCATCGTCTTACTTACCAAACCGCTTATGAGAAAATGTGGCGTTGCTGGGATGCGCATAGAGGGAAAAAACCCAAGACTTATGTCAAAGAAACTTCTGTATCGGTTGGATGGCTATGTTGTCTATATATGATACTTATCCTAGGATCTCGATCCCTTCCGCAAACTGCCGAGTCACTCGACTTTCAACGGAAATGGTTTTCAAAAGTTGAAGAGCTCCCACCACTACTTAGTACTTCGAGTCTCCCGAATGTACGTGCATATATGCTCCTCTCGCTATACTACCACAATACCAACGACCGAACCGGTGCTTGGACGTTTCATGGTGCAGCCTGTCGACTAGCTATAGCGATTGGAATGCATCGCGAGAGTTCTTCGGGATTGTTCGATCCGGTAGAGAGGCAACTTCGAAAGCTAGCTTGGTGGACGCTGTACGGCTACGAACAGTTTCTATGCTGTTCATTAGGCCGTCCTAGTGCGATCGACGATAGAGAAATGGATGTCGGAATTCCAAATGATGACTATCTAGACGCAAACCTCCTCCCTCCTCGGTATATCGAGCATTCGGCTCGGTTGGATATGCTACTAGCTGCCGTCCGGCGCGGGATATTCGATCCGGGATTTGTCCCGGGGAAGATGTATACCCGAGCCCTGGAGTTCCTAGAGACTGTCTCAGGTTGGGAAGATACACTGCCGAGAGGACTCAAACCCTCGGCGTACGAGGGCGGCTCCGACGGGAACGATAACCAGTGGCGGAGTTCTATATTACTTAGCATTCGGTATCATCACACTCTCTGCTTCTTAACGCGTCCGTTTCTTTTTGAGACGATTGGATCTGTGAACGGTGGACCCCCCCTCGGACCCGACGCTTGCAAGATAAGAGCATTATGCAAAGTCTGCCTGACTGGTGCGATGCGCTGTGGGAACTTGGTCATCGATTTATGGCGCGCAGGTCACATAAACGGGGCTACATGGATAGATATATACTATGCATATATGTCTAGTCTAGATATCTCGTTAGCATTGCTTTCCCCAGGTTCGTTATGTCAAGATGAGGGCCAACCAGAAATCGCCAAGCCAGAGCTCATAGAAAAATATACGATAGAAGAAATGAAGGACGTTGTAAGACAGCTATGCGAGGTCATGTCGACGATCGAGGTATGTGGAACAAACGCTCGGTTTGCAAAGGCAGCATTCGAATTTGCCATTGCTCTCGGAATTATTCCCGAGGAGAGCATTCTTTCCTTAGGCCTGTCACTCTTAGAGCTAAGGGCGAGGGAACGAGATCAGGGACCTAATGAGGAGAGTTTAATTCCCAAAACGACAGAAAGGGATCAAGAATTTACCCACGATAAAAAGCAAAGAGTTGATGGTAACAGAGTCGACCAAGGCATGACTGGAATATCTAACTATTATCCCGCAAGTGCTATGAACTTAGACTTCCAAGGCAACATGAGCTACCCCTTAGATGACGCGATGGGCGATGTGCAATGGGACATGTGAGTCGATACCGAAAAACGCAATACTGCTTTACTTTACTTTCGGAGTTTTCTAATGCGCTGATTTTGAACTTATCAGGATTTTGCAGCCTTCACAATGGAACGGAGCCTCTTTGAATATGGATATGGACTGGGTCTGGCAGTGTCCAAATCAAAGCTGGCATGGCAATATTTACGGAAACTAGTGAACCGCCAGTGAAAACCTTCGTTGCCCCCTTATGGGTTATGTCGAATACGCTGGCGCTTCCTAGAATAAAAAAAACCCTTTCGACAAAACATTCTTGCAATTACGGTGGCAAGAGACATATAGCACAATCAGCTTCATAGCCAACAAAAAGTATGTGGAATTGTCGAATTAATATCTCGCGTCTTATTTTCCTTGAGCTTCTAGCCGACATGAATCTTCTTACACCAGTCTCTCCCATGCTGAACTTGCCAGCTGCAAAGCCACCCTTCCATAGCCATGCTGATAAAACTAGCAATGCAGATACCAGCGCTATCGCTAACACTAGTTGCTCCGAGACTAAACTCTCGCTCAGAAGTTGGCACATTTTGCATGATTTCAGCAAATGTGTTCACATATACCGCTCCGCCCAGTAGACCTTCCCAGAATATAACGATGAAAATCACGTAGACGCTAGGGATAAAAGGCAGCAACGCGTGTAGCGTTAACAGCACCAAGTTACCGATCTGGAGGAAAGAAGGGAGATATAGGTGTTGGATACGAATGAACGCGATCGATGAGCGCGAGATGAATACGCCTAGCTGGTACAAGAATCCGTACATGGGATAGAAATCTCGGTACTCCTTAAAGGGCGTTGATTTTAAAGGGAATAGTAAGGTCGGAGAGACGCCTTGATTTATGGTGTATTCTGCAACATAGACCAATAACAGCGGCAGCATGTAGGGATAGAATAAAGATCTAGCGCGTCGAACATTAGACTTTAGCTTAGATAGAGCATCTATGCCATCCGTGGAAATATCAGCAGATACAATGGCCGACTCAGGGGCGAGGAGGCTAGAAGTGGCATTGGTAGTTAACCGGTCATCCTCGATATCATCTTGCCTTACGTCTCGATGCGGTACTGCCTGGTAGCCCCTCGCTCCCTTGCCTTGACGGAGGGGTTCCTTTGGTAATATTAGGAAGAAGCTGATAAACATAATTACGGGCAAGAATGCCGAAGCCAATAGACTGTCCTTAACAGAGAACCCAATCCAATCAGTGAACATGACGTATAATCCAGCACCAATAAGACCAGCTGCACCTGTACCACTCCCCCAAGCAGCCAGACTCATGTGTCCGTAAAAATGAGTTAGTCCAAGGAAGCTCAGCTCTCCTGCGCCGCTCGACAAGCTTGCAAGTATTACTCCAGCCATCTTGACCCCGACAGATCTATCTGGTGGTGTAAGGGCGATCATGAACATGCCGAGGGACGAGGTGATGACGAAGGCAATTATACGTAGCCAATATGGGACCTTGTGAATGAAGTACGGCGCGATCAACTTAGTGAGGAACGAAGGGAGAACATCGGCGAGCAGGACAAGTCCTTTGGGCACGTCGGATCCGACAAGGTCTTGGGCGGCAGAGAGGATAATTACGTATAAGACATTATTGATTAAACCTTGCATACGTTAATACGATACGGATACGATTAGGGAGAGGATATATACCAAAAAGCCAGAACGCAGCCAATACCGACGTGTCGGCGTTCTGAAAGATGGAGGCAAGTCGAGCCCGGTAAAGGGCCCAAGAGGACGACGGCGAGCCAGGCATAGGTAAGAGACCTGAAGACGCGGGTGAGCGACTCATCGTGGAAGGGATATCGTAGATATTCAAGGTACGCTATAGCGCGCAACTGCTTGCCTGATGTAATCGCGTAGGAAATGGCTACATGCTGGGTAAGACTGAGCTTGTTGATGAGAGTTGATCGTCAAGATCGTCGTCTGTTACATGTGGTAAGATAAGAATGAAATAACGAGGACTCAGGTATGACGAGAATACGAGGACTAGATCCCTGCTATCGATAGCACGGCTCATCCAATATGTGCATACGTACATCTTACGTCCCCGGAAGGGGGGAGACGACGCTAAAAATACGTAGGTATATTTCTTAAAAGAACATGCACGGCTTACCTCCTGAGCGTACATATAGTGTATTAGATACTTCACTGTTTCATTGAAAAAGGCACGAAGGGCTGCTGAGAGTTATAAGACAAACTTTTGAAATATTATAGTTAAATATTATAAATCTATTAAAATGCCTACGTACCTAACCTAAGGTATACAGCAAAGGGGTTTAGCCATCTACAAATCTCAGAAATCGTCGTTCGCTGTACTCGGTAGGTCTCCCAACCGTGACCTGGGCGTACTTGCTTGTTAAATCCATGACAATCGTGAACAGAGTCTGGGCCTTGGAATCCACCTCCTGTTTCCTATTGATAGAAGCTGGATAATCCTTAGTATCCTTGAAAATTTCAAAGATTGTATCAAGAGTCGGCTCGGATATTTTAGTAGCGAGCTCTCGGATTCGGGATAGACGCCAAGGGGAGTCTTCTAGCCACAACGGTTCGTCGATACCTGACTTATCAAGAAGAAGATGATTCGTATGGCATACCCGCCCGTTGTCATCCATCGATAACTCCTTCACCCAGCGGCTTGTACACTCAAGGCCCACCGAGCCTGTCGCATCTCCTACCAAGATGTGCCCACCTCCAGCGACGCCAGAAGACTTGATTAATATCACTGCTTCCTCTCGAGATCCTGATTCTAGTACGGCGCGAAGGGCGAAATGTATAGGTAACTTAGATCGATCAAGACCGTGGCAGCGAATCGCATTCAAGCAGCAACCAACACCTTTTGAATTAAGTCCTATTTTCCCTATAATACCAGCTTCGGTCACCATGGCGATATCCGGGATTTCTGTATCTGGATGTGATATGTGGCATATTATGAGATTTGGACCTTGTTCTATCCGCCAGTCCCAGTTCTGACCAATGAAGGACTTTGACCTGGCTGACCAACCTAAGCTCGTACAGCCGTCGCTTGGGATATCCGTGATCCCGTTGGATGTGTCAGAGAAGAGACCGAACGTTATCTCGGATCGTATATTCAACGCTAAGATATCTAGAAACGGTATGTGCGCCCCGTCGGCAATGCCGCCAATTTCCACAAGGTACCGCGCTGCGATCTTCTTTAGGATATCATGATATTTTGACGCTTCTTGTAGGACTTCTTCCCAGGTCATCGAACAAGACTCCCAAAACAGCTGTTTATAGAAATCGATAGACCCTAATATCTTCTCCTTGGCTAACTGACCATGGGTGAACCCAATCTAGTAAGATTTTAGCGTAGTCTATCGGGGAGGATGGGTTACTGGTTGCTTTCAGAGATATTACCTCGTAAGGGGTTCCGCTGCACCGGATTTCGAGCATATTGATATTTAATATTAATGAAAACCCGGCGAGTTTACACGCTTGGGGCTTAGGTGGCGTAGAGGGAAAGGTTGTTAAATAGAAGGGGATGTTCAATGCTTCTCCGCACGAAAGACATCAAAACTACCTAACGAATCTGGATTTGGATATGTTGCAATGCTCCCTTTGCATGATGACAAAACCCCTCCATCGAGTACTATACCCTTCTAGAGTTCTATTCGAGCATGTAACATGATATATACTCCTAGCGAGTAGCAAGAATGTACCTGCATATTGGTGTATACTATGTATTACTTGATGGTGGCTTGAAGGCCTAGGGATATAACTATTTGTAACTAGGTAGTTTATAGAACTTGACCTTAAGCCCTTAGTGCAATTCTAATATTAGCAACGGCATCTACAAAGAGTATAGAGAACCTAGGAAGTAGATATATACTCGTACTTTAGGCAAGCAGGTACATACCTATGTGTAAGTGTAAAGTGATGTGTTGGACGGGTATAAACACAATATCGTAGGTACTTTAGGTTAGGTAGGTTAGGTGCCCTGAACAGTGCCCGCATCAATGTAATATTACGTAGGTGGCGCATAGACCCCCCGCCAAGGTTTATACATAGTATGCGCCTTGACGATAGCCAAGTTGAATTGGGGCGTTTTCTTCATCTTTCTCGCTCGATACCACGTACACTATTCATATATTACACTAGAGTTGCGGCATACCTTGATCACGCTGACCATGATCTCTGGTGCCAAGTTGTTAGATAGAGAAACTTCAAACTCGGAACGCATCATACCAAGCTCTTCACGGTACATTATCCAGCATATTTACCATGCTGCCATGCAAAAATGGTGTCAGGGTTGTCCATACCCATGCACGCACCTCCATTCCCTGCCTACGACCTAGGCTGAGGCGGCCCTGGCAGCGTTGTATGCGAAGCCCTAACATGACGCTACCAAGCAGCTAGGCCAGACGAAATGGGTAGACCGCCATCCTGCATCTGACGGTTGACCTCAGCAAGTCTTGCTATTGATCGTCGTCTAGCTACTTAACCAGTTTATATATAGGTACTTAGGTAGGTATATATATGTTTAGGAATCGAAATAATATATTCTCGACTCTATGAGCTCTCTTCATCTTTGAGTCGGTTATACATTCACGAACACAACACAACAACACAACGAGATCGTGCGGTAGTATAACTAATAAATATCCCTAATATATAAATCAGCTATAGCGGTCACAGCGACTACAACCGGCGCTATCTAGAAGCCAATCTCCTAATAACCCCCTAAGAATAAACGTCGCATTGTAAAAATGGCTACACGCTACCGACATACCGGCGCGGTCGACATGCAAAATCGCACGCGACAAGAGCGTCGGTTTGACGAGACAGAACACGACTTGTCCAACTTCTCGCCCTTCACATCTGCTCTAAGCCCGACCGATCGAGTCCTTCAGCTGTTTTCGTACTTGGGCAAGAAGAACCCTTTCCCTCGCTCTATTACGAATGAAGACACCCTTTGGTTGCTCGATAATACTGCCTACCGCAATGAGAGTACGGGAAAATGGGAAGCGGAATTTGTTTCAGCTGCCTTCTCTCAACATTCATCTTGCGCCGTTATCGACGCCGTAAGTGCCATCGCCGGTAAGATCGATTTAGACAGTAAAGACCCGAATTATCCTACCATCGAGGAGCGCATTCGACCTTTCGTACAGGATATCAAGCCCGGTGCTCAGGCGAAGGCACTACAGGGAGGGAAGACACCGCTCAAGCTTGGTCCCGGTGGTAGAAATGGTATTAGTAGCGACATTAAGAGGCTTCCTGACAATAAGGGTGGTAGCCTTATTCCCACAGTTGCCGAGGTTCCCAAAGGCGCCAATGGCATACTAGAAATGAAGACGTTCTACGCTGATCCCGAGGGTTGGGGTATAATATCTGGTAGGCATCTATTTAGTCGTAAGCGTGTAAGAGTCGCTAACAAAGAACAGATATAGATGATACGATTAAGATCACTCAGACAAGTGATCCTATTGGCATCCTGCGGACGACTTTCCTCGATACGCCTGAAGTCTGTCCCGGGATGCCGGAGCTATATCAGTTTATACAATCCCTCGTCCAAAAGTCCTCGCCGTGGTTTTATCTTTCCGCGTCGCCGTATAACCTATATGGTTTCCTTCGCGACTTCTGCAGAAAGAATTATCCGCATGGCACTATCATTCTTCGTGATGCGAGCTGGATGAGTTTACCGGGGTTATTAACGACTCTTACTCTTGGTACAGAAGATTATAAGGTTGATCGAATGGAAAAGATACACTCGTGGCTTCCGAAGAGGAAGATGATTTGCATCGGTGATTCGACCCAGTCTGATCCTGAGGCTTATGGTGAAATGTAAGTTGTTTCTCCGTCACGTATGCTTCTTTTTATCTTACCGCTGACCTTGGGTAAATTATAGCTATCGGTCATATCCTGGTTGGGTCAAGGTGATACTCATTCGCAAAGTTGAAGATATTGCGGCCATTGGCATAGAGGCCAAAAATGAACCAGAAAGATTCGAGAAGGCCTTCAAGGATGTGCCTCGTGACGTTTGGCATGTGTTCTCAGACCCAGTCGAGTGCCGCAAAATCATTCAGGATACAGTATCGAAGTCATCTTGAACTACTTAAATAAACAATAACGCTTCTCTCTGCGGGTTGGTACGATATTTCGTTGGAAATTGCTCGAGACGTTGGTTTCACCCGATAACCCTTTTAATAATGTGTCCTTACTTTTTAAATACCCCTTTACTTTAAGTACAGACCTGTATGATGTAAAAAAATGCCTTCGACGTCATACGATCGATATAATTCCCCCGCACAACACCACATGCAAGATGCAAGGGGGTATCCACTCAAGCAAGACTCTGTCCAATCTTCTATCTCACGGCTATGCCGGAATTCATGACGCCGCAATATCTCCAGGTACTGGATGCTTATTTGCACTAAATACCTACTTAAGTTTCTTTAGCCCCGTTGGAGCTCTTCAGGTATAGCTTCCATATGTTTCCCATATTTCCGCCTTCATTAATCTTGGTCGGCCTCCTCTTTTTATGTTCAAAAGTCGACTATTTTCTGGAGTAGTCTATCAGAGAGCATCTTCGTGGACTAGACCTTCTACACAGCAATTCCGCACTAGCTACTCTACTTACCCCTATCGTCCCAATATGTCTGCCCCTAAGCGACAAAAGTCATCAAAAGATGTGCCATACGAGCTTATATATTGGCCCGGCATACCCGGTCGTGGAGAGCATGTACGCTTGGCGCTTGAGGAGGGCGGGGCTACGTACACGGATACAGCGCAGATTGAGAAGGGCATGGACCAAGTAACGGCGCAGATCGATGAGGGTAATGTAGGCGATGACCTCAACCCGCCGCCTTTCGCGCCTCCCATCCTTCGTCATGGTGATCTTCTCATCTCCCAGACTTCCAACATCTTGTTGTATCTTGGGCCGCGCCTCGGACTGGTGCCAAGCGAAGACGATGAGGAGCACCCAGACGCATTGTACAAGGTCAACGCGCTTGCTCTAACGGCGCTTGATGGTCTGAGTAACGAGGTTCACGATTGTCACCATCCTATCGCTTCTGGGTTGTACTATGAGGACCAGAAAGAGGAAGCGAAGCGGAAAAGCAAGGATTTTGTGAAGACCCGTCTCCCCAAGTTTCTAAGCTATTTTGAACGTGTGCTGCAGGGTAAGGCCAGCGGAGAAGGCCCGTGGTTGTACGGCGGTCAGTTGACCTATGCAGACTTGGTGCTATTCCAGGTGAGCCCTCTTATCTTTTCTCTCGTTCTATTTATATGAATTTTCCCGGCTGTACATCGCCTAAATGCGAGGGTCGAGTAAACGAACAGCTGCTAACATACCCTAGTGTATTGACGGCACCAAATTTGCTTTCAGGAAGGCTATGAGCGCAGCCGAGAAGTCGGGCAAGTATGCGCACGTATTCAAGCTGTATGACGCTGTGAAGGAACGGCCTAGGATTAGCGAGTATTTGGCTAGTAAAAGAAGACAAGAATATTCGATGGGTATTTATCGATACTATGACGAGTTGGATTTTGGCCCTGAAGGTAGAGATTAAGCTATCAGGGAATATGATAGGATATACTAGAAACTAAATAAAAGACTTCACTTCTCCAAGATAGTGTTTTTATCATTAGATCCGAAGAGTCCGAAGTTTTAAGGTGTCTAACATAGGAAAATGTGTAGGCAAGTTACATTATTATAACCCACCCATTTGAATACGCTTGCCCCTCTCTTCTAAACAAAACCTAGCCGTTTAAAAAATGTTTTTACATTTTATCTATACAGTACACCACTTGTAATAATGTTATTCAGCGGACCTGTATAGCTACCTCGCTGAGATCCTAAAGCATATATTTACTGCTGCCTTATAAAGTTGTTAAAATACTTTAAAACAACGTTTTCGAAAAACTATAACAGGTGTTATAAAATCTGGGTATAACAGGTAAGATGCTTTAAAAGGCGTACTGTACATTGCGTGCCAACAATTATTAGCGATGAATTGTTTGATTATATCGATCTTATGAGGCACGTCGTCCAATGTCAATATCTCGTCGACAGGGGGCTCTTTAGCCTGTAGTTTTACAACATCGGTTTGATCGTAGTATTTGATTCAAGAGTCTAGTTCTCTCCAACGGATCAAGTTTATTAATTATTTTGCTTCTTGTAACCTTTATTGTTTGCTTGGCCTAACTCAAAAGGCAAGCGTAAAAACAGGCTTCAACATATCATAACAAATTACATATTAATGGTCCATTTGGCAGACTACTAAACGTAGAGTAGATAGCCCAGACAGGTAGCTTGCGCCACCGTCCTAGTGGCTGGCTGAATGTCTATTTCAAACCTCTGGGCTTCAAACTTCTAACCAGCATTGCCGACACTGAAACCATGGACCTGGTAATGGCATGATTAGAATTGGCCAGGCTCTGAAGAGGATCGTCTCAGCTCAACCCTACTAAAATAAGGCTTCACTAAACGGCTGTTTGGGCTGTGATTTGTACCTCCTAATTGCGCCCTATTACTCCAAGCAATCCTACAAGTCATTATATAAGTGTGTCGGTTACTCTTTCGTCACGTACAAGGGTTGTGCCGTGGTGGGCTCAAGCGCTTTGTTCGGGAGACGTAGATTCCGGTCGATAGGTGGCAATCATTGGCTATAATTCCCGAATGAAACTGTGGGTTGTGATTGAACCGCATAGTGTATTGAAGGGAACGGTCTGGTTATGTAGTATATTACCTATGGTGGCACTTCGCACGATCCGCATGTAGAAACAAACAACATGCTTTTAATCAAGTCAAGCTGTAGATTACGAATAAGTTAAGTGCCTCTTAAGTCTTACCATCTAGATTTTCGGGTCAGTCCGCGTCTAGTAGTATATTAGGCATTTACACGTAGCTCAAGCGCTTTCTCATAGCAGTGAATTTTAAGTATATTGACCATCTTCCTGTCTATGATAAAAGCAGATGCTGTTCTATATGTAAGTGTTAATGTGTACGTCTCTAGCAATCCTAAGTCGTAAGCCTTATTGATGATCCTTACGACAAACTCCACAAAATGAGGCCATGGGCTGATCTGCCGAACCAAAACATGACGAGCCCAACTACCAGGGTCGATATACCCTTGAGCGACTATTCCTTAACCTGCTTTAGAAAAAGTAATATCCCATAAGCGTTATAGGTAGGAGGCTCAGTTTACGATTTCCTGTCTCAAAATACAAATATGATCGGCGCTGTCACATGAGTCTGGCTTCATGCGGGTTCAATGTCGGTAGTGGGGTCAATAGGCTAAACAGGTAAAGCAAGTTACGAGTTATATTGATGGGGAAGTCAGTATACCCTGCAAGGGTTTTTCTTCTTTCACTTTCCTCTCTTCGTTTCGGCCGACGTTGTTTCAAGCCAAACGAATAGGAACATACATAATAGCACTCGCAGGGATCAATGGCATGTCTTTACATAGGTACATAGTTATAAGTAACAAGTACAAGGGTGAATAGAAACGGTAAATCATTACAACTTATCCACTTAGTAGCTCTAGTTCCAGTCGTCAAATGCAACGGACCGGCCGTGATAACCGACATAGAGTCACCATCAACTCGAAGCTAAACTTTATTCCGCATTAGAAAGTTATATATCTCTGTTTAAAAGCAAGCCCCGAATGTGTAGTAAATAGGTATTTGGGTTCTGTTCGTATATTGATAAGTCGGTGTAAGTGTTAAAAGTTGATCGAGCGGGTCTCTTCGCATGTACTCACCCATAATAGTATAATACATAGCAGTACATACACTATTACTGCAATGGTGATCACTCTCCGCCCTCTGCGGCATAAACGGTAGGGCTCATAGTGGATAGTTACATTGTACTATGTATGTGGGCAGTTACTGTCAGGGGACGAAAGGACTAGAGGGACGAAAAAGAAGAAAAAAAAGGCTCAATTACCGTCACTAGTGTAAGACCCTGCATACATACACTAGAGCTAAAATAATGGGTCGGAAATTATTGCACCTGGGCATTTTTAGTCTATGTAACGAATTTCACTTAGGTTAGGTACCTAATGAAGTTACCAAAAAGCTTTTCTTATATAGGAGGTACCTATATATTATTTACCACAAGACATAATATCGATTAGAACATAGTGGACAGTGGATGTTACTAAATCTCTACTTGCTAATTCGATATATTGCTAAAACTGATGTGTTATAGTAATGCGAAGTCTTGCATATTGCGACTTGAGTAAACGAGGTTACCGGACGGATGGGAATATTATAAGTACAGCCTTGTCAAAATGAGCTGCACCTAAAAAGAGGAGCCCGAAAGAGGAACCCATAAGAGGAGTTCCCACGTGTCGCCGTGACACCAAGAAGAGGCAGACTAAAGAGTCTCGAATCCACAGAGACTACACATACCCGTACACATAGCATAGTGACGGGGTTCTCGCAAAAGTGTTTGCAATATTCTCAACCCGATATTATAGACTAGGTTCTCCATCTTCTTAGGTGGGAACCCCTCATTCGCCAGTGATATTTACCTCGGAAAACTAACTCCCAAAATAATAACATCTAAATATACTCGCTATATAATACGCCAAAAAAATAATAGGTTATCGGTGTTAAAGACTACCTTGTAGGATTCCCGATCGCAACTGCCAGCCATCGTACCTAATTAGGTAGGTTACATTGGCGACTCTGACATAGGTCGGCGTTAAACGAAGACAACCGGAAGACATGCGGGATGGGGAATTCCCTTGCCCCGATAACAACGGGCTACATATATTTTAGGTCTAGATCTAAAGCCTATAGCACCGTAAAGGGGTAATATCGTAAATGTCTACTCCGTATACTCCATTGAGAAATCCAATAACTGGCTATTGGCAAAAGGCCATTTCGTAAACCAAATAATCCTAAAAGCCGATAAGCCAGGTAAGATCCTGCGAATTTGCGTGACCTTACATATGGATGCACGCAAGGTCGCATTCGTCCGTCTGACGTTAAACAATTATAGTGAAGACGGGAGTGAGCAAACATAGATAGTGTATGAACATCACATCCGTGCCCATCCCCAAAGATAGCGTAATACCTATTGGAGGTTGGACTCTACTAATATACAGTACTGAGTTGGTGCACACCGGTCTGCCACCAAGGTTGTCGATCAAAAATATCGGTCGCTTCTGTAGTTGTCATAACGGCTGGAACCCCTCTTACGTAGGTGGATTTGATACTTGACCTTCGGCGCTGAAAAATAAATGATGCTTGGTAATCTCGCCTAGAAAAAAAATTTGGTAGCCTTGTTCTTATCTAATGAGAATGCTAAAATAACGATGTCTTGTTGGCGAATACGATTCCATTTTACCGGTCGTGTATGGATGCCCAATAGCAACACAAGGCTTTGGTGGAGCGGGAATATGCCCAGATTGACGTGCAATATCCGTAGACGGATGCGGCTCGATTAAACTACTTAGACGGCATAGTTGACCTCTGACAACATCGCGGCATAATAGTTTTCATTTAAGTGTATTCACTTCTGTCACTCTAGTATAAGCTAGCACGCCTTATAAATATGCGACGGCAGTTGACGAAGTTTAACAAGTGATGTTTTCATCTACATAGTAGTTAGACATCCACATCTTATTCATCTCGAGAGTTCCGGTCGTGTAACTATATGATTCGCACTGTTTGCTTACCAGATGCTGTACCAGATGTTGTACCATATGCTATTGGCTTATTCTTATTAGAAATGTGCTCGTATGAACCAGCACATAGCTATATTTATCGTCTCAATTCTAGTTAATGATATTACCGAAGTCTGACTTATTAAGAGTGCAATGCTTTTTTGCGGTATGACTTGGAGTCTTGGGGATTCGCAAGATAGCTCTTGGCGTAAGTTTGTGGCATTTCTTAATAGCACAGAACCTAGTGAATGGAAAATTCGGACTTCGTGTATTGTGATCACTTGTATCCGTCTACGGGAAACATGCAGCCTTCCTCCGAGGTTGGCCATGTGCTTTACCGCCTTATGACATTCCTTGAGTACCAATAATCAATGGTATAACGAAATACTATGATGTCCTTCCTATCCATGTCATCCTTTACCACGGTTTCTAGAGCCCAGTCGCCTACATAACGCCGCATAACCATAACCCTTACCTAAAACACCAGACTCCAAGCATGCCAGATCCTATTTTGGCTACGCTGATGTGCTCCTCACTCCTCAAAAAATGCCCGTAATTGAAAAGCGTGCAGCATGACCGAATACAAAGTGAACCGGCACTATGCTGATGATCTATATCCTTAAAACAATCAAAAGCATTTCGACTCCTGTTATTTCCTTAATATGCCGTGTATCTCGTTTGTCGAGTTTTGTTTAGACGTATGGTGTGGACCTCTTGCTTCTTCTAATCATATACTCCCATGGTGGCGGTGATCGCGGCCGACAATCAGCTAGAAACTGTTAGTAAGTCCTAAATTTTAGTAATAAAAAAAGTAAAATGTTTTCGTCTCTCCCACTTTCACCTCCATGGGGGTAAGGGTTCTCAAGCCGAAAGGTAGATATGCGAGTTGCGTT